CTTACGGATTTTCGTGATGACATGCGTACCAGACCGTGGCAACAGGTATGAAATTAAGGTAAGTCAATTGATATGAATCGTACTACTCTGGAAATTAACAAAACCAATCAGTATAACAGCTGTACCTTCCTGGTTTGGCAGTTTGTGTAAGAAACCAAGAATTAGTTCGAGGTACATATATCTCTTACGGATTTTCGTAACAATAATTGTACCAACAATTTTGACTGCGTTGGAATTAAGTGTGATGTATTGAAATTAAATGTACTCCTCTTAAAATGAAAAATACTATTTATTCCGCGAATCGTACCTATCTCAAACTCATTTTCGTTAAGGTACAGATCCAAATTATTTTTCTGTGAAAAGATGTGTACCTCTTACAATAAATCGAAATTTGAAGTGTACTTGCACTGAAATCAATTGTGACATCAAGAATTGATGATTCGCACGTTTTAAATCAACTGTACCTTTTTTTCGCAATCGAAGCAAGCGAATATTTTATGATATATTCGATTGAGTGCTGAATATATACATGTATATGGGTTGATGTCTATGGGGGAAGCGACACACAACAGACATTTAAAAACCCATCACACAAATGTTTCCATCCAATAAATTCCATGTCTTTGAAGTGCGATTATTTGTACAATATTTGCAATAAAGGCTAGAATTGCTTTTCAAGTGATGGAAACCAAGAAAAATAGAGAAAGAAAGGGCGAAAATAGAAGACAGAACCCAAACGAAAAACGAAAATGAATGTTTGCAGTGAGATCGAACAAAGAAGAAGCCGAAAATATTGCATTATTTTCAGCATATAGAAATATGAGTGATGGAAAAAAGACTGACAGATATGGAAAAATGTCTACAACACTGGTGTGTGCTTTTGAGTTAGCAAATTATGTGAGCATTAGACAGTCCGTTCTCTATTATACAAAAATTGAATTCTTTCAAACATTACAACAATTATTTTCTCTGTTTTCTTGGATTGTCGCTGAGGATGACAAATGTCGAAATGCATCCAAACCGAAATTTCGTTTATGAATAAATATTCATATTGATTTATGTTTGAAATTTGAAAAAGCAAAGTCACTTTAAGGTGTTTTATTTAAATTTAATCATAGATTGAAAAAATCTTTCCATGTATTAGACTTTGCGGTACAAATAAATTTTGTCGTTTTTTAACAACTACTCTTTCTTGGATTGTATTCAAGTGAAATGCAGAAATCAAAAAACGGCCAACAATGGGAAAATGACTAGAATGACGTTTGGTTTGGCGCCATCTGCAAGTAGGAAGTATTTTGCCATACAAATACCTTCAATTGTAGCTGTCATTGGTTGCTGTCATTGATAGTTGACAGTATATTTATAGAGCAGATTCAAAGTTCAGCATTCAGCGCCAAGATGTCGCTTAAATATAGCATAAACACGAGCTTTCTTCTGATCCGAATTAATTATCATGTGCAGGACTAACTGAAATACTTGCTCTTAATTAAGGAGGGTGGGAATATAATTGAAATCAGAAATGCACTAATTTATAATTCGTCAATTTGATATGAACTTAAATCTAGAAGGAAATATTCGGAAATTCATCAATGCTAATCGATTTGTTCCACTTATTAGCACATCTAATAATTTTCAAAACACATTGAATTGCCGCATAGCATTGGTAAGAAAACCAATTCATTTTCGATTATATTCGATTCGATTAATAAAAATGAATTTCAAAGTATTTATTTTGCTTGCCGTTAATAAATTCGCTTTTGCGATTCGGAAAATTGATTTTATTTAAATTTAATCGAGGTAGTTTCGACCAATTTCCTAATAGCTAGTTAGACACGTTCCATTATGCATGGTTGGGATTTTAATTACATAAATGTAGTAATTAAGGAAGGTAGGAATATAATTGAAATCAGAAATGCACTAATTTATAATTCACCAATTCGATATGAACTTGAATGTAGAATAAAATATTCGGAAATTTATCAATGCCAATTGATTTGTTCCACTCATTAGCACACCTAATAATTTTGATAACACATTGAATTGTCGCATAGCATGGGTATAAAATACCGAGCATCGTTCACAGCAAAGAACAGAGCTTGTCTCAAAAGTTTAAGAAGGAAACCAATTCATTTTCGAATAGATTCGGTTCGATTAACAAAATGAATTTCAAAATATTTACTTTGTTCGCCGTTGTGGTATTGGCATTATTTTCATCTGGAAGCTCATCACCATTTCCTGAAAAAGATGATGGAGTAAGTAAGTTAACAAGGAAAATGTCACAAATTCTGATTTATAAATGTTTTAATGTTTATTTCGAATTTTATAGCCCCGAAGTGCTGGGATGTTGATGTGAATGTCATATGCAAAAGGCAAGGATTTATGGGAGGAAAGTGTTTTAATGTGTAAATGTGGCTGAGGTGGATTTAAGTAGGAATGAACTGTTATATCCAATAAATAAATTCGCTTTTTAAAAGTGGTTTCATTCAAATTTAAACGATGTAGTTTCGCCAGATTTATTACTAAGTCCGAGCTTTTCGATTCTATTCAATATTGTAATGTAATTGTCTCTTTGATAAAGACGAGTTACCTTTTAAGGCAACCTTATATGAAACTCTCGGAGAACGGGTATGAAGCACACCAAAAATCGAAAAAAAAATTTTCGACTTTTTGCCTGTCTTCCGACCGCTACAAGGCAACCTTATATGAAACTCTCGGAGAAGAACTCGGATGATATATTTCAGTTTAAGCGGTATGGCATTTTAAAGCTGATGTTCTCTGCTGAAAAATAAGGCTAATGCAACATGCCTATGTCGTCTGGTAGGGTACTTATGGCTGCTCAAGTGATGATTAGTGCCAAAATAGTGTAAAAACTCGACATGTCATCACTTGGGGAGCCATAACTTTCCAACTGGACATCATAGGTAAATCGTATTGGCCCTATTTTTTAGCTGTAAACATACGCTTTAGTGTAGCATACATTAGAAACTGAAATATGACCACTGTCATGTCTTAATTTAGCCAAATGTCCACCAAACGCTCAAAAATTGGTCCAAAACTCGGAATATCCCTACAAATGAGTGATATTTTCCATTAAAATAGCTTAAAAACAAGTCCACATTATCTGCAGAGACATTTCAATCAAAATTCAAATGAAAAATATGGAAAGATTGCATGTAATAGGCCAAAATTCACAACAAATTGACCATTTTTGGTAACAAAGAGTGATTTTGAGCCAAAAAGGTAGATAGAACATGATTTTTCTGGCTAGGGGACTCACGCCAATTTCCATATTTAAAATATGAACAAATAATATGAATTTGTTTATGTTTCAACATATTAAACAGATATGTATGCATAATTTCAATTTTGCTCAATTTTGTTCAATAAACCGACTGTTAGCAGAACCATGTCCAATCTGTTGTCGTCATTATCGCTTCAAAAATTCTGGAAATGGGTTTTGGTGGATCCTGTGGATTGTTCAAAACCGCTCCTGGTTCTGGAAGTGGATCCTCAGGATGGGCCAGGGCATTGTCAAACCCAGTCTGATCCATCCTGAAGATCCACCAAAACCCACTTCCAGAACCGGGAGCAGTTTTGAACGATCCTGAGGATCCACCAAAACCCACTTCCAGAACATATTGTTCAAGGTGAATATGAACAATAACAACTCATTCGGGAAATAATACAAAATATTTGAAATCTAGCGTGAATTTTACATGATTTAAATAATACAAATAGATTTTGCTAAATAAAATTTGGCATGAATCCCCTAGTTTTCTGGGTTAGTATGTCGAACAAAGTTGTCCAGTTATACGTTGGCTACAAAATTGCTGAATATTTTGGCCATAATAATTGGATACGCTGCGAGTTATGGTTGAAAAATGGTAAAAAATGGGCATTTTTGCGATTTTGAGGCCCTAGATGCATTTTTTGGGTAAGTTTGTTCTGCATTTTTTTTCTCCTATTCAATACCTACAACTTTGATTAAGACCAAACAACAATATTCATAACGTGTAACCGAGTTATAGCCGTGTGGAAATATTGAAAAAGTGCTCAAAATCCACCTCTGGCCAAAAAACGCCGGAGGAAATTAAATCCTCAAATGAACAAACTTTTTAAAAATATTTGGCAGGAGTTCTTGTTTCGGTAAGTACTTTCACGTGGAGTTCTCAGAAATGAGTTTGCCTTCCATGACTTGAAAAATGTTGCACTGTGTTATGTATGTGTATATTATGTAATTGAAGAGCTTCTTTAAGTAGAGGCACTTCTCCAGTATACAAACTTGACTAATGCAAATCGATTCTGATAGATTAAAAAAATTGTGTGAGATTATTTTTTACGATATTTTGATTGAATTAAAAATATTTTTCAACAATTCGAATTATTAACATAAATTTCAAATAATGACTATTAACAACAAAAAACTGGGGATACTTACTAGCAATAATAATCTATAGCTTGTACTTTCGCTGTCTTTATAAGCTGTCAAAAAGGCTCTACGTGCTTCGCGAAATCTTACACTGCACGGCTACGATCATACCGCAAACAACAACCTACATCAAAATCAATAAACATTCACTCATTGGCATGGCTTGATTAATTCCAATGGAAGTTGTGGAATAAATTGCAAATTTGTAAATTAAAAATGAACATTCGCGATAATTAAATCCTTCTGAATGTGCTGGGATTGGCACAGTAACGACGAGATGGCTGTCATTTCAATATGAAAACCCAATTATTTTATTCATTGAAGTATGGATGAAATACCCGTGTGCAAATAAAGTGACTAACAGTCACTCAGTTGTATGTAGCTTCAAATTACTAAAACTGGATAAGCTGATTATATTCAAAAATATTTAATATTGTATGGAAACAATCACTTTTAGTTATTCTTTGAGCCAGTCGTTTAATTCCGGACTTTTTGGCTACTAGATGACTATAACTGAAGTTGACTACAGTCGAATATTCGAGATAATCACTTTTAGTCTGTGTGAGCCAAAAAGTCTAAAATTAGGCGGCTGACTAGTCAGTCACAAATTTTTCACACGGGATATGGCACCATATTCCCTACATACACGGTACCAATCGTAAACATATTACAATTAGAGTGAGAAAAAGTTTGAGTGTATCGCAGTTTTTTGTTGTTGTTGCAATTTTATTTTTACGAGATTTTTACGCTCGCCTACGAAGGTTCTGAAGCGTCAAACGGATCAAAAATAACACAATGGTGATGAATACAACATCATATTTTCAATATTCATATGGCACATTGACTAGCGGATAGCAACTGCGGCAAGTGGCTTAGCCATATTGCCATGAGTATATGTGCTTCACGATTGAATGGAACGTAGCGAACACCAGCCGCGAAAGAAAACTGAGAGAGAGAAAATGAGATGTGCGAAGAACTGAGAAAAAAACACCTTAACCTGCCTAAATATTTGTTAATTCTCTTTTCTTTTGACGGCAAACTCTTTGAGCCGTTGTAAAGCATTTTCATAGGTTTTTCGTTTATCTTTCGCCTTCTTCTTGTTGTTTGGCTTCATTTTTTATTCGCTCAATTAGATTGTGTCCATGTCGTCATTTTTTCGCTTCATTCTTCTTATTTATGATTTTTACAACTATTTCGTATGAACTAATTGTTTTTCATAAGGTGAATGGTTGTGGGTAAATTCGTATTATTTCAATACTCCAATGAAACAGTATTGAGAACGGCTTTCAACCATTTTGTAAATCAATGAGAAATTGATTTGAAACAACACTCTAAATGACTAGGCAAGCGAACGAGTTAAATCATTTCTTTATTTTAAAGAAAAAGATTTTGAGGCGACTGCGGATTCGAACCACAGGTCTTTGGATTGCCGGTCCACTGCTCTAACCGCTAAGCTACCGCCGCCCATTCACTTGCCACGTCATTTTTCGAGTTGAACAGAGCGCTAGCATCTGTTTTTGTTTTGGTGAATGAAGTGATTTTTTGTCACTGGTTTCATTCGGGGGATTTTTTTTCAAAAAAAAAAAAAAAAAATCTTTTTCTTTAAAATAAAGAAATGATTTAACTCGTTCGCTTGCCTAGTCATTTAGAGTGTTGTTTCAAATCAATTTCTCATTGATTTACAAAATGGTTGAAAGCCGTTCTCAATACTGTTTCTTCTTATTTGTTATTTTGATATGTTTTTTTTTACTTCAATATTTTTGTTACTCTTCTCGATGAATATGGTTTGTAGGTGCGAGAGAGAAGTGAGTGTGTTATTTTTTCTTTCGTCGGCTTGGCTTGCTTCAATCCATCTATTGTAATTATTTAACCAAAATCAATGTGCGCACCTTTGTAATAAGCAGGGCTAACCAAAATATGTTGAAAAAAAATCCAAAATATGTATTTTATAAAACACAGTCGAATGACTGTGGTTTTTGTTTTGCCGGAACGGTGAAA